ATCGGAAACAAAAACCACCTTTTGGAAAGAGGAGAAAATGCTGCGTCGAATAGTGGCCGAGCTGCTCTTCCTTTGATGTTCTACGAGGATTTAGCTGCCTAAGTATGAAAATCGGTAGCATCAATTAAAATTCTGTCAAGAATGTATGAATGTATGACAAGCTATGGAAAGGATAAAAAGTAGTTTTGCATTCTATATTGTTTGCTCTATCGAACAGTTACTTGAACTTCTTCTGAGGTTTGATGTAAAAGTTTTAAAAAACTGTGAAACTAGACTATCTCAAAAAGCATGGGTCGCAGACTTTGGTTATTTTCTGAAAGCTCACTGATTGTTTTGCAATACTTTCATAACCATCAGAAAGAGAATGAAATTCTGCATCGAATGCTTCCAAGATCTCTCAGAAACCTTTGTTCCATCAAATGTGGTGCCCGTTTGAAAAAAGCGAAATTACTTTTTAAATGACCTAATATATTGCACAGAGTAGCCCGAAAATTATTCAAGCCGTTAAAAAAAGGTTACGACTGATTTTATATTAGCTGCACATGCAAATTCTTGTTCAAAAAAATCTTCGTAACATCCCTCCCAGGAACCTGCAACAGGTAAGGAAGGTAGATTTGATTAGCGTTGCATACCTTTGGAGTACCCATTTCATTCAAAAAGCCACTTCGATTAACCTTCGTTTCTTTGCAAATATTGATTGTTTGAGAGAATCCAAAAAAATTTTGATTCAATCACGTGCACTCCAAAACTGCTTCTGGTAGGGTATGTCTCCAGCATTCTGCGACATGAGATCAGCATTGAATCTTTCATTTTGTTGTAGCACTGCTTCAAATATTTTACAGCCAATGCTTCCCAAACTGTATGGAGAACATGCTATTGCAACGTAAAGCCTAAATCTTTTTTTTTTGAAGCAAAAGTTCGCATCTATAGCAGATAGTTCACAGCTAGTCTGATGTTTGAAAGATTTGCTGTCTTCACTCTTATGACGAAATGATTTGATTTCCGTGATTAAAGTTCCTTTTCATGCACGTCATGCACTCTACTTTTTAGGAATAAAATTTGAATTTTTGTCCAATTTTTGCATCTTCCTCGCAGCTTGGCGTTTTTATGCTCGGTTAATCCAGTTGTAAGCGACATCAGCTCTAACGAGTTCTCAAGGAATTTTCGAGCTCTAATCTCTGCAATGACGCCATCAAATTTATCTAATTCCGAGGGCTATCGAGTATGTTGCGCTAAAATTCAAAAGATTTGTTCCCCACATATCTCTTTAGTCAGTTTGACTCTACTCTTCACAGATTTCGTTCCATTTGGTTTTTAATTTCTTAAATTACCATAGGTTTGAGTCGAAACGTCCAAAATGCAAATTTCTTCTCTACATTTTGATTCTACGGTGTGTCCTCTTGCTCGTACGTCTTCGAAAAGCTAAGATAATCTGCGTGCATTTTTCTTTATCTTATTTGATGAGCAGCTTTTATTACACCTTTCTTCTGCACTGTTCGCACTCATTTCTTACAAGTTCTCAAGTTTGAGGAAGCGTATAGAAAGACTCTCCTGAATACAACCAAATACTGGATTGCGGCTCAATGAGTCAGTACCACTTCGTGTGATGTTTGAGCTGGCAGCAAACGATGCGTAGGTTGTGAAGGTTTTAGCGTTTGAGTCACCATGCATTCAACCTTTCAGAAGCAGTGAACCGGAAATCTTACAGTGTGTGCATAGAGGCTGAACCCTTACCCTTATCAGGACAGTTTGTCCGCCGCCAGCTACACTGTTCACACTTTGATAACGAGTTACGTTACAGAAGCGACCATACAGCAAAAATCTGTAGCTATGTAATTTTTGCAATGGATTTTTTCATTCGTTTGCGTTTGCCACTTAATCGAGTTGGAGGAAAATTTCACCATTCAAAGAAACCAGTGATCAAAGCAAACGAAGCTCTTGATGTTCTCCTTTCGCAAGGCTTTGTTTGATTTGAACCACCGCTAACCTTCTCTAAATCCATTTCACACCGCACATTTTTACGATTGGACCCTTTTTCACCTTGAAACTGTACAAGACTTACTTAATCAATTATGCCCTTTGCGTTACTCTTTCCTGCTGTGGAATTTATGGATATTTGAGGGCTTTTCATCCCTCATTTCAACACTCCTCCAAATCAGAAAGATTAGTGATAGGCCCATGTTACAGTAAATGCATTTCTTCATCTTTTCAGCTTTATCTTGGTAACCTGATTTCTTGCATAACGGCTCAATGCTCATATTATTGAGCTTATAGCTTTTATCACAGCAAACTTGTGCTAGCTTTCAGAACTCTTAATTGGAAGTTGTCAAGATATTTTGATAACATATGCTCAGAGCAAAGATCTTCAGTGCATACTTACTTTACTTTTCTAGAATGACAATGCAGAATGTTATAAGACTTTTTTGAAACTACATATTTCTTCAAAATTTGCGTAGAACATATTTTCATCAAAAACCAAAAGCTCGAATAGTTTAAAACTTGTTTTGATCAAATTTCATTTCTGTCTCTATTAAGTAACTGTGCGCTAACCTTTTGATAGCCGATCTCGTTACCAGAGCACGACCAAGGCACATGTATAGTAAACTTACAATTAGAGGTAAGAACGATGGCAAACCTTTCGCGACTATTTTAGTAATCTTATAAAAACAAAGCTGTGTAAAGCAAAAAAAATGCAGTAGGTAACCTACAAAGTACTTGTCTCTTAGTGATCTATTCAATTCAATGAGTCCGAAAAGACTACAAAAATCTTGCTGCTTTTGACTCATTCTATCTAGGAGTTTATTTTTCACTATAGATATGTCAATAAAATTCCAATCTTTCTGCGAATTTATTGGGTTGTTTCAAAAATAATGTCCGTTTTGCAAACTTTCACTTCGGAAGTCTATAACTTTGCCCACTCTTGATAATTTTGAATGCAGTCAAGACCATCAGAAGCAGTAAACCATTCGTACTTAGCGCGCACCTGCTCATACTGATAGCGCAAACGGCAAAGAGATCATGCGTCAAATAACTGAAAGTTTTTCTTTCAAAAACCTCGTATTCAAAAGCTTACAATTCCCTTCAAGTTTTGTTCCTATAGCTGGCAATCAGCTTATTTCGTAGCCGCAGGCCAAAAGTATAGGTTGTATATAATAGGCTTCAGCGAAGGAGTTCTGCAAAAAGAAAGGATGAGAATCCAAAAATGTTCACTTTTTTAAGCCTATTTGTTGTAGGCTTGTAAGTGCCAAATTATGGTAATTTGAATTTTTCTTGCAATAAATATCTAAGTTTTTCTGCAAAAATTGTAGGCAAGATGTCCTGACCTCAAGCCTACAGAAATGGAGCGAATCTTTGGCGATTGCCTATCAGGAAAAAACTTCAACTCAAAGAGTGCCATGCAGCAAGTATCTATTTTGAGGCATCGATTTCTCAGTCCAGATATCGAAAAATTTATGTGAACATGCGCTGGGTAAACAATACTCATCCCACACAGTAGCCATTTTTTCAAAAGAATCCGTTCATTTGCGCTCGAATTGTGGCCAAGAAAGTTAAAGCAACGAAATTTCGATTTTGAGTGCAGCTGCACGGAATGCTGGTGAAATTCTCACAGATAAGATGGAAGCTTAATTTACCAATGTCAGAAAGTATATAAAGAAAGCTCTTCAAAGATATGCAGAATTTATATCGAAAAAGAAAGTTTGAAGAAGAAAAGTTGTTCGGAAAGTAGGCCTAGAAAAACGGGCATTATTTTTGCAACAGCCTAATATATTACCAGATCCATGACCTCCATGTGGCTACGAAGTACTCTATCAAGAACTGTACTTGAGAGACGTTAACACGGTCGAAGGCTTACCTCATACAGCTTTCTGGCTTCAATATCCTAAATGAATTATGAGGCTCAGGCTCTTTGTTTGGAAAAAGAAGGTATATATGAACATTTTGTTCCAGATTGTAGTAACCGAAGTGCTTTTCTAGGAATTATTCAATGCAGAGTGCGATTGGCTGCAGCGCTAAAGCATGTTGATTTAACTTCATTGCATAACTTTCCACTGGCGAAGCTAAAAAAGTATTCAAGTCATCCCTCTATGGCTTTGCTTATTTGATTTTAAAAACTTTGATTTTTTGTGACTTGCTTAGTTTGTGTCATTCGATTCAAATAGCCGGAAACAACAGAGCCATAAAATCTTATTACTTCTTATCAGCTAACGCTTCTCAGTTTTTAACACATCACCGCGCATTCTTCATCTCATTCATGCTTTTCCACCACCGCTAATATTGAGTAAACAAGTCAATCGACTTGCGCTCTTACACAAATTTTCCATCAAGGGCGGCGATGACTGGAAAAAAGCCGTTTCTTTTTTTTTGCAAATTTGAGCTTTTAAGTTTTCACGGTGCAGAATTTAGTATACATTTCTGAAGCAGATAACGCCCACATAATCAGATTTGAGATTTCCATTCCGCAATTGCTATTACAGTGTTTCTTTTCAAAGGAATCTGCGAATTTTAAAAGATAGTATTGAATAATATGACTGGACAACAGTACTCTGTCTGCAGTGTCTTGATACTGATCACGAAGCTGTGATTGAGGCTCCATGAAAATTGTTAAGCACACCTTAGACAACTTACTAATATATGCTCCTTCACATCGACGATGAAAATTTGAAAACTTATTGGAATAGAACTGTTAAAACATTTTGCTGCGATGCTCAACTGCTACTGTGACTTGAGAGGGCAAGCAAGTTCAGGACCACAATGAGTTCAACGTTGCCCGTCCTTATAATTGAGAAATCTAATTCTTTGGATCTGTTGCAGAAGCGTTTTACAGTAGCTTGAATTTGTTGATCTGGACTGGCAAACTTTGCTGTGTCAAGATTATATTTCACATCCTTGGTACAATCGCTTCATTTTTGCTTCGCAAACTGTCATCTTCCGTGCTCCTGTCACGAATTATCATTATCACCTACTCCCTTAGCTGAGCCACTCCGGAAAACTAAGTTTAATTCAGATAACGAGGATATCAATAGCAATGTTAGCGAAATATATTTGCTTTGTGTCGATAGTAGCCACAGGTAAGCATATGCATATTTGATTTTGAGACTCATTGTCAAACATAGGTAATTCTGAAGTTATTGGCGCGAGCCCACCAGCCAAGCCCTCAATGGAAAACTATGGTCAAATGCCAGCGTATGAGAAGTAGGCACCTCAATGTCAAGACTTGAAATTTAATCGAGGGCACAAACGTAGGGTAACTCTATTACCGCGGCGTATCTTACCCGATTGGCATCCTCTCCCATAGCATGTATTAATTGTGGCGCCCAGCAAGACTCCGAGGTCGCCAGAGTGAGTTCTGTCGGGCCGTGGCATGAAGAGCCTCGGCTTGCCCAAGAACTAACAATAAGTACAGCTTTTTTCAACCCGAATAGGCGAAACATTCCAAGTGGAGCAGCGCGTCCGCACCGCCACTAGCTAAGCGAGACGGATGAGAATGAAGAGACGCAGATTGCAAAGCAGCGCGAATCGTTGCGAAGGGGACTCCCGCCAGTTTAATTTCCGCCTAACCATAGGCAGTGTGTCTGGTCAGGTCCGAGGCTCGCTCGACTGTTTTGTGTCCAGGGTGTTCCGATAAAACATTTGAGCCCGCGGCCCTTCCCTAGCGATAATAATGAGCCGTGGGTTGCCAAGCAAATGAATCAAGAGCCGCTGATGGTCAGTCAAAGAATATAAGGTCCGTGCACCGGCAGAAGTCAGTATTAGGAAACGCGGGTGCTCGCAATAATTGTCTGAGTATAGGGTTTGCTCTATCCGTGCGTTACTTGGACCTCCTCGTGGGGTCGGTATAGGCCTAAGGCGTACCTCACGCGATTTCAGTCGCTGAGCGACTCGGCACGGAAGCGACAGTTCGTAATTGGTCGTTACCGCCCATTGTTTGAACAGGACCTGGTCTGTTTGCAAGGACTTACAAAAGCTACACGCCTAATTTGAAAATCGCCCACGACGAATTTGTGAATATCTGGCAGAACGCCAAGTTGCATGGACGTCGCGATTTGGTCAAATCGCGTGAGGTATGCCTTAGGCCATAAGGCTCTGGACCAATTGCTCGCGATTTCAGCCATCACGCAATTTGGCCATTTGCCAGATCTTCTCAAACCAAACACTCGCAGACCACAAATGCTCGGTGTACTCAACTTTTTTAAGTCGATAAAATGTGTTATTCCATGTGCTCAAATTGGGTTTGCGACGAGTTATACGCAATTGGAGTATTGCCAAGTCGCGTCGCGACTAAAATCGCGTGAGGTATGAACGAGCTCTAAGAGTTTGGAAAGCTAGCGAATTTCAACCATGGCAAAAACCATGTGTCGTAGTTTTTGTTTATTTTATGAAAGCTTGTCGGTCAAACTGGTACGAAGAAACAACTGGTCGAAAGAAGCTGAGAAGCTGCATCGAGTGCGCCCGATTTCTTCCCAGGACCCTTGTTCTGCGATATGTTACACCCTTTAGAAACGAAAAATTAACTACTTTCAGTACTATCTAACAGAATCGGTGATGAAATTTTTGAAGTGACCGTTATTAATCTGTTAGTAATAAATTCTGTAAATATCCCTCTCCCATTCTTCTCGCTGTATTTGAATATACAGGTACCGCGTTGATGTGTAAGATGTGCGATAATCACATCACTTGTGCACATGAGTTGACCGAGTTGTGTCCACCACATACGCAGTGTTACACGATCAAACGACAAGGACGAGGTAGATAATTTGCATCGTGATATTTATATATAGATATTTGGAAAATCTCTTATTTTCTAATTTAGCAACACACAAGGGATGTGCAAGCAGCTGTGCCGCACTGCCATTTGCTGCTGGGGCCGAATGCGCAACATGTAATCACAGGGATCACTGTAACGGTGCGTGTAAAGAAATTGTTTCGTGTACTTATAGTTTTGACAGCGGCTCAGAATGAATCCCGGATCCTGATTTGCGCTTATATCAATTCCCTACGCTGCTCCCTAAGTCCAAATTTTAGGTCGCATTAACTGCATAAACAAGTATTTTCCTTAGTTACTTTGGTGGCCGAAAACATAGAGAGCATTAGGGTTAGAGACGCAGTCCTTGCAGGAATCCCATGTGATCGCCTAAGAAGTAAGCAGGTAAGAGTGAATGAGAGATGATTGAAAAGCGCGCATTGCTCGCCTCTCATTACGATGAGCACAGTAAAGATCAGACCCTTGAGCCCGCGCGCTGTTCTAGTATAAGGTCCAGACAGTATGGTGGTGGGAAATTCTGATGAGTATTGTGACCCAATCCAGCCTTCTATTTCTTATAATCTGTTATGTACTGCCTTCATTCAGCCAAGAAATAAGACTTTTTGATTGTTTTGCACATTTCTGCAATTTCACTTATCCCTGTGCTTGAATTTACTGATAAATAGGACGAATTGACCGTTTTCGGCACTTTTCACTAAAGTGACTTCAATCCCTTAATTTTCAATATTTGCGATATGCAAAGTTTACGCCAGCAGGCGTTGTTGATATGCGCCTGCTCGCGCTGCTGGTGTGCTGCCTTTCCACATTAGGTTCCCGAACAGGCATGAGAGGGATGTACAGGAGATTGATAAATACCGCCTCAGTCTGTTTTGTTTTTAAACTTCAAAATTTGTATAGTCGTCCGCTACAACATGTGAAAGTAAATTTCAAGCCTCAAATTCTCGCTTTTGTGGAACAAGAAACCACTCTGTCAATGACGACTTCCCAGATGGTCTTGTAGAGGAACGAATAGCTCCATTAGGCGCCGCATTCATGGATTGCCGGTACTAACACGGTTTGCACTAGTAAGCGCGAAAACTCAGTAGTACGCAGAGGCGACGCCTACTCAAACATTTGCCGGCGGTAGGCGGGGACCGGAAGGCGGCTGATTTCTCGCGTCCGCTCGCTGATTTTCAGAAAAGCAGTTACGAGCTTTTGCAACATCGTTTGTTACATTCTTGCTTCGTCGAAGAATCAGCACTTATCTGCGAAGAATCGGATCAAAAAAGATTCAAAAGGTGGTATATGACAGCTCGCTGACCATTTTTCAATGCTAACGGAGTGCAAAAGTCAGCAACGCGGATTAACCGGTGCCCGCCTGTCCCCGGCGATTATTTGATTGTGGGTAACTGAGATATTCGTTCCTCTAGCCGAAACGCTCGCCTTGAGATATACACCCCTTGGCAGGTAGCTGAACTCCCAAAGTTCTCAAAAAGCTGTTGACGAATTCCCTCCCCCCCCCCCCTCATTCCTTATAATCAAAAGGTAAGAGTATCAGGGTATGGAAACTTCTATAAGATATAGGCCATCTAACGGCAGGCTCACGTACAGCAGCAATGACACGCGCGCGAGCTAGTACCCTAGTCAGGAATCATGAATGCAAGGTTTTCACCGTTTTTATATATGTTCGTCATTCTTTTATGGATAATCAGAAGCCATGACTGTTATCTGTAGGTATGGTATAGGTAAAAAGCAGCCCGAGCGTAAATTGCACTACGCGAACCTGTCGTTATTACACGCATTGTGGATAGGGAAGAAGATGTTAAATTTTGTTTTCTATATAATAGATTTAGATAATACTTTTACGATGGGTTCATATGGCTCGCTTGGAGAAGGAGTTCGTCCCAGCCACCACAATAATGGTACGTCGCCTTTACGTAGAGTCTCCATTCCTGTTGTTTTATAACAAGAATAGCTTTTTCATTGTGACTCACAATCCACAACTTTGTATGAAGGTTCAATAATAGTGCCCGGCGCGATCTTAGATAATCGCCGGAAACAGGCGGCCATGCGATTTATGAGCGGGCGGGCACCGAAAAAATAGTTCGCTGATTTCTTGCGGTCGGCTTGCAGATATTTGGAAGAATTTTGGCGAAATTTTAGGCGAATGCTCGGAGAACAATCGCGTTTCCTTATAGATTAGCTACGGCGCAGTGGCCGCATTCCGCGGACTCTCCGCGAGAACATGCAAAATTTTTGGGGGTTGCACGGTCCTTTGAGAAGGACCGCGCAGCCCGTAGGTACTTTCCGCTGAGAGAAATACCCCAAACTCGGTTAATCAAACCAGATGACACCTCAGTCACGTAGAGTCTCACCTTTGCTCTGCGTAGGCCCGAAACTGCGTAAAGAGTCCGAGCGCTTGCTGAAAGTTTGGTCAGCGTTCGCTGAGAGAAATTATTTGCCGAGCGCTTGCAGAAAATGCTGTATTGCTGCCCGCTAGCAGAATATGCGACCGTAAAGGAAGTGCCGCCCGCCGAAGGTTTGGCCACGCCCCAAAATTCTGCTGACCGCTTGCAGAAAAGCGCGAGTTTGCGAACCGCCTGCCCCTGACGATTATCTGAGTATATGCCCTTAGGAAAAAGTATAGAATATGAAACTTGATGCAAAGGTTACGAATAGAGAATGCGCTCAACTTTTTCCAATTTTTCAAGTTTAACCAGATAAACTTTTCATAATTATGTAATTGCATCCGAGCTTTACTATATAGTAACATTTTGGTTCTCACAATTTTTCCTCTCCCTATCTCTAGGTTCTGAAATAGCAACTATGCCGGTACTCGAAGAAACGCGCTTTAATTAAACTCTTCGCAGCTTTCACAACCAAAAGGATATCGTAAATGGCAAAGGCGGTTGTTTTAAATGTCCATTTGGCACCTTCAGGCCGTTTCGTGGTCAGTAATAAAGATCGACTCTTTTGCGTGATCTAGACATTGATTTCATATCTAAGTATAAATTTCACATTTAATGACAATTTCCCCTGCAATAATGTTCACTGAAGGAGATGCAAAGAAATCTGTTGAAGATCTACGTTTCAGGCGAACATCGCGGCCATATAGGAGGTGGCGTATATCCGAATTCCAGTCCAATATCAACCATCTCCTCATTTGCTTTCGTTATGGCCTTTATTTCGTTTCTGTGATACAAAAGGGTGAGCACAAGGATCGTAAAACTAAAATTATTACATGTATCGTGCACACTAGATATGAGCAATACAGGCACTCAAATGTTTTGGCAATAATGCTTCAGCTCATCGCAGTAGTTTGAGATTCTTCTTTCTTGTTACATCTCCTCGATTGTATGTAAAAAAAATTTTGTTCTTGTTTCTGAACAAAGTCTCTGAGTATTATGTCTTTTTCCTACTTGCACAATGAGATGTACCTCCAATTCTACGCCTATTCGTTGGCATAACAGATCGACATTTTAGTTGGTAAAGCTCAGTTGGTTGTTGCGACCTTTTACAAGGGCAGCAAATGTCAAGCAGGATATGTTCATTGGAAAAAAACTTAGGGTGACTTCTTTAATATCAATCATTCTGAACTTGAAAACGCACCATGAGGGAGTGACTAACATATGTACCTATGCAGGCACTCCTTGCAAATAAACAAAGAACGAGTATGGGCGTGTTTAGAATGTGTGCACAGCACCTGGTAGCCACAGAACATACGTTACTCATTGACATGCATAAACACGTGCGACAAACTTTCGACTTCGCCGTGTCCACGGATCTAAGGTATCTTCGATTCAGTTGCGTGATTTAGCCTAATTTTACTAGTTTTACTACATTACTTACTTTACTTTACTTATACACTCAAAGGTGTAACACAAAAGAAAAAGAAACAGCAAAATGCAATGTCATCTAGTCTTAAACGTAACGGAAGTTAAACGCGCACGTAAGAATGAACTGGAAGACCAGTCCCGTAAAATCTGACAAACAATCAGCAGATAAAGAATACTCGATTAAAGAACGATTAAGCAGCAGAATCTCGCTTCATCTAGATTGAAAGGCCCCTTTTGGTTGTCAACGAGCCTGCGTGTGGAAGCTAGATGACTTGTCCCCGGAAAAATAAGCTGTAGATGAAGGCAAGACTCTGAACGAATTTCTAAGTACAAAGACTTTACAGTACATGATTAGACTATTTGAATGCATGATTAGGTTCAGAAGAGGCATTAGATGTCGATTGAAGTCACTCCGCTGTAGATTAAGACAATCTGGTCCTAATTACAAAGTATCTATGGTTAGTAACAATCGAAAAAGTATAGTTAGCGGTCGACTGTACTTGATCTGGCTATCTTTCATAACAGAGAAATAGAGCACGGCTGCACTGTAATAAAACCATTTGACAAGGCAGGAAGCTCTTGAGGGAGCAGTTGATGCCACATAAATGAAATGGAGTTTCAGTTGCAGTCTAGACGGAAAAGGAGCATAAAGTATAGGCCATAATTTATGCAGCACAAAATAGTCGCCAGTCAAGAAAGCACATTTGAGCCAGATCTGAAAAAGAACGTTAAAAAACTCAAAACAGGGAAAAAAGGGTTATAAAAACCAAAGACGAAAGAACCAAAAACCACAAGACGTAGACCTCTTTGCTCAGACAGGCTATAGCTTCTTCCTGAATCAAATGCACAAAAAATGAAAACATCAACATAAAAATGAATCACTCTCAACAGATTTGGGAATTTCTGACTTCTTTAAAGCTTTTTGAAAGCCCGACTATATTTAGCCGAATGTAACTACAAGGGAAGTCACTTATCTTAGGTCAGCCTTTTGAAATGAGACACATATGTTTAGAATCAGCTCGGAACGCTGATTCCAAATATGCTGTTCCTAGCTGCGAAGCGTTCCTCTGAAGCGAGTGAGTTTTTAGTATGTGTAATAGACATATAACTGAATATGGAAAGAAGGCCTTTAGATGAAAATCTGCCTAAAAAGTGGTGGGAAAACGAAACAATCAAACTGAGTCATTTGGCTTTGACAGGGTCTTGTATGCACTTGAACCACTACCTGGATGATGATAGGGTAGCATGCCTAAGTCGGTCAGCACGCAAACTTTGCTTAGGAAAAAGCTCATAACTCGCTTCAGAGGAATGCTTCGCAGCTAGGAACAGCATATTTGGAATCAGCCGAGCTGATTCTAAATATATGTGTCTCATTTCAAAAGGCCGACCTAAGTTAAGTGACTTCCCTTGTTAGCAGGCAGTCGTCTTAAACAGCGAGCACATTGATAGAACGAAAAATTGAAAAGGCCAGAATAGCAGTATCTTTTTAGTCTAGGGTAGTGAAGATTGAAACCCCCTCTGCAACTCACAGGCCTGAAGACCCAAAAGTGGCAGGCAGGTCAATCTCTCTCCGCAAAATCGCAAAACAAATGTCTAAGCAATAATTCTTCTAAGTTTCAATGATTTCAAACCAAAAAGTCTCAAGCGCTCATTGTAGTCTAAATTGGACCTTTCTTGCATATTAAGAGATATGCGAGAGGACCACCCGTGTAAATATATGTTGAACTCTTTCAATCTTGATAAATTCTTTCTTTCAGATGGGTTCCACACTTGAGAACAATACTCAAGATTTGGTAACACATAAGCCTTTTATAGTCTCGTCAGAACGACTGAAGAGGAGTGAATAACATGAAAAATTGCAAAAGGATTGAATATGCTTTTTTAACAGCAGAATCAATATGTCTGAAGAAATTTAAGTGAGGTTCAACAAAAACACCTAAGTCACTGACTACTCATGACTACTGATGTATTCATGTAGAAGTGCTTTGTGCTTTTTGTAAAGCTTTTGGCTTTCATTATTCGGATCGTGTCCCTTCGTTAGAGATGGTAATGAACGGTACGAGGATGCACGCAGGGAAATTTATGCCTAGTGTGACTGGAAGACTGTCCACTTGGAAGGTGCCAGTTTAGACCGCGGCCCTGCTTTTACTGTGAAAAAGTGAGAGGCACAATCGTAGCCAGACTGATGCCGCGAGACTCGGGACACCACAAGTCTTCATGCAAAGGACCTGATAAGAAGGAATTTTTGAGATGGGTGGACGACTCAAAGGAGCGGTATGTTCGTTTGAGGAGAGAAATTACGAACATGAAAGGACCAAAGGAGGGAACACAAGCTGAGGCGGGGGTGTCGCTAAAGCGATGTTAAAGTCGAAGTACAGGGCTCCTAAATTGCAGAGTCGTTTGCACCAGCGGTCACGCGACCGCGTCGCGTCCGGGCATCAATGGCGCCGCCTCGATCTTTGGCGCAGGCGCCGGCAAAATGCCCGGGCGCGACGCGGTTGCGCGACCGCTGGTGCAAACGACTCTGCAATTTAGGAGCCCTGTACAGTGTGATCAGATTTATTTATAATTGTATTGATTGTATTGTTTATATTTACTTCATTGTTTGTGTTGTAATGTTGATAACTTTCATGTAGGACCAATACCCCGCAATGGAAGAAGTCGGCCAGACAAGTGAGTACAAGTCATTGCGAATTTCCCATCAGTCCATCATTGCCTTGACTACACAACCTTACTTGGCCGAGCTTATTAACATACCTCTTGGCAAATTGACCATTTACGCAACCAATACTTTTTGGCGCCGTTTTTGTAAAGTAATGGACTTTTGATCAATTTTTTGAGCCTAAGTTCATGGCTTGCACATTTACTTGGCACAAACATCCACGACTCTGAAAAAAGTGGAATTACGGACCCAATTTTGCGGCCCAAATGCAAAGTGGATCCGTTTGACGCGCAGTTTCTGAGTGATCCACTCAACGAATCTGCTCGTTCTTTTGCATGTTGGAGTTTCATGCGGGGCATGCACTGTGCAAAATTTGAGCCCAGGAGGTTGGCTGGAACACGCTCTACGAATTTCGTAACAGACACACACACACACACACACACACACACACACACACACACACACACACACACACACACACACACAAAGTCAGGTAAACATCCTTAGCCCGTTATTATAAGTAATGATCAGTCGACAATGATAGTCAACAATGATTTAAAGGATATAAATACTGATAGATATTCGCAGAATTGAAAAGGTTCAACAGCTTTTTACACGACTGTTGTATAGACGTTTATCGCCCGGAACTACCCCTCCCGATTACCAGACCCGGCTTGAGAGGTTTCATATGAAATCCTTAACAAATCGTCGTGCCTTCTTGGATCTTGTATTCTGTTTTCAAGTTCTGAGAAGAGAGAACAAGCTAAAAGCCAGTAAATACTGGATTTTTGTTCCTACAAGCGAAAGGTCAGGCTCTTTTAACTTGCAATATCCAAGAATCCGGCGCAAGAGATACTTGCTCATGTTCAACAACGTGTTCCACAGGTCGGCTAGGTGGCTTTCGCACCTCCCGGTTGAGACCACTAGTGCAGAGAGTAGTCATATTTTCAGGAGTAGACTGAGAAGGCTTGACTTGTCAGGTATCGCTAACACTGATTAGTGTTGCATGACAGGGCGAGAGCCTTCTGCATTAGACTTTTTGGGCTTCCATTATGTGCTTTGGACGTGCTATGATGGCGGATGGAATCGCTTTGGGCTTTGTTTTCTATCACCTTTCTTCTCCATTTTACCTCTAAAACCTGTCTTTTCAGGTGCTCGGTGATCTTGCATTGACTTGCGGGTTCAGTTGTGGCTGTTAATTATTTCTTTGACGCCTCTTGTGTATCTCCTCACGTTGCGTCAAACTTTTATTTTTGGTGTACTCGTTTTGTTCTAGTTACTAACACAGTTTCATCAGCATCTCAGTTCGAGTCTTTCTCGTTCAGCTATCTATTAGTCAATCGTACAGCTTGCTATTTCAACAAATGGATTCAATGAGAATTGTTTCACCTTTGGGGTCATTGGGCCTCCCCAGCATTCCGGCTAGGTTAGGTTATGGTTATTATACCTGAGCCAGTAGACCTGCCTTATAAGCCGCCGGATTGCTTTTAAGAGTAACTAAAGATCGTTCCGCTGGCAACGAGGGGGCATGCGTCCCATCTCCATGGATTCAAAGTTTTGGAGTTATAAATCTCATGCCTACATCTGCATACTTATCTATTAGCCTACCAACATATTCAGTGCAAGCTGTTTTATCTTCTCACATTAGTCTAATTAGGATCAGACTCGGACTGACATGATGATGTCGTTTGTTTACATGTTTTGTTCGTTTCCGCTGTATTACTAACTTCCTGATGTGTCTTTTTTTTTTATGGAACGCCTTGAGCGTACAAATGAAATGAAATGAAATGAAATGGATGTGTAAGGTCAAGCCATCTTCTACAAGTTCACAAGTTGAATGTAGTCTTGGGTCCACAAATTTCTCTGAGAAGCACTCACGAGACAAGACAAGTTTTGGTAGA